TGGAGCCTCATCTCACCCTCTGCTCTTCTCGTTCCCAAAAAATGTGGGGGGATCCAGGGATCTGTGGGGGATTCAGGCATCTGTGGAATCCAAGGATCTGTGGGGATTTCAGGGATTGAGGGGGATCCAGGAATTGATGGGAGAATCCAGGGATTTGTGGGGATCCAGGGATTTTTGGGGATCCAGGAATTGAGAGGGATCCAAGGATCTGTGGGGAGAATCCAGAGATCTGTGTATGTTTGGGGTGAGATTCCACGGATCTGTGGGGATCCAGGGATTTGCACGGGGATCCATGAATCTCTGGATCCAGGGATTTGTGGGATTCAGGAATCTGCAGGGAATCCAAGGATCTGTGTGTGTTTGGGGTGAGATTCTAGGGATTTGTGGGGATCCAGGGATTTGTGGGGGATCCAGGGATCTGCAGGGGGATCCACGAATCTGTGGATCCACGAATCTGCAGGGAATCCAGGAATCTGTGAGGGATCAAAGGATCTGCAGGGATTCCAGGAATCTGCGGGGGATCCAGGGATTTGTGGGATCCAAGGATCTGTGGGGAGAATCCAGGGATCTGTGTGTGTTTGGGGTGAGATTCCAGGGATCTGTGGGGGATCCCTGAATCTGTGGATCCACAAATCTGCCAGGGGATCCAGGAATCTGCAGGGGATCCAGGGATTTGTGGGATCCAGGGATCTGCAGGGAATCCAGGGATCTGTGTTTGTTTGGTGGGAGATTCCAGGGGTTTGTGAGGATCCAGGAATTGAGAGGGATCCAGGAATCTGTGGATCCACGAATCTGCAGGGAATGCAGGGATTTATGTGTGTTTGGGGTGAGATTCCAGGGATCTGTGCGGAATCCAGAGATCTATGGGGGATCCAGGAATCTGCCAGGGGATCCAGGGATTTGTGGGATTCGGGGATTTGTGGGATTCAGGGATTTGTGGGATTCAGGGAACTGTGGGGAGAATCCAGGGATCTGGGTGTGTTTGGGGTGAGATTCCAGGAATCTGCAGGGGATCCAGGGATTTGTGGGATTCAGGGATCTGCAGGGAATCCAGGGATCTGTGTATCTTTGGGGTGAGATTCCAGGGATTTGTGGGGATCCAGGGATCTGTGGGATCCAAGGATCTGTGGGGGATTCAGGAATCTGTGGGGGATCCAGGGATTTGTGAGGCTCCAGGAATTGATGGGAGAATCCAGGGATCTGTGTGTGTTTGGGGGAGATTCCAGGGATCTGTGGGGGATCCACGAATCTGTGGATCCACGAATCTGCCAGGGGATCCAGGAATCTGTGGTGATTTAGGGATCTGTGGGGAATCCAAAGATCTATGGGGGATCCCACGAATCTGCAGGGGATCCAGGGATTTGTGGGATTCGGGGATCTGCAGGGAATCCAGGGGTCTGTGTGTGTTTGGGGTGAGATTCCAGGGATTTGTGAGGATCCAGGGATCTGCAGGAGGATCCAGGAATCTGTGGTGATTTAGGGATCTGTGGGGAATCCAAAGATCTGTGGGGGGATCCAGGAATCTGTGGGGGATTCAGGGATCTGCAGGGGATCCAGGGACTTGTGGGATTCAGGGATTTGTGGGATTCAGGGATCTGCAGGGAATCCAGGGATCTGTGTATGTTTGGGGTGAGATTCCAGGGAACTGTGGGGATCTGTGGGGATCCAGGAATCTGCTCCAGCAGCACACATGGACTCCTCCTGGCCCCAGGAGCACCCATGGGTGCTTTTCCCAAAGGATATCCGATGGACAGATCATTGAGCAGCTGCAGCGTCTTGGACGTGATGGGTTCACAGCGACCCCAATACTTCAGGTTGGTGATGCTACAAGAGGGAAAAAAGTGACAGATCAGAAAGTTTTGCCCCAATCCTCCTATTTTTTTAAATTATTTTTTTTATTTTTTTTTTATTTTTTTGTGGCAAATTTTTCCAGTTCCGATCTCCCGGATGGCTCCACCCTCCACCGAGAGAGCACAAAAAATGGGTATAAAATCACTTTATACTTACATTTTGGCTGGCTAGAAAAATTATCCTTCACATAAAATCTTCACTACTTGGATCCCCAAAGCTACACTGGCCCTTGGAATTGCCAGGCCCTTGGAATTCTGTGCCACTCCAGGGCTGGGATTTCTGCAGCAAAGGGTAAGAGAATTCTGCATGCAGACTGCTGCAATTCTGCACCTGCAGCATCCTGCAGAATTCTGGTAGCCTTTGCTTTTTTTCCTGAGTGGTGAGCAAAGCACCCGTGATGGTAAAAAAAAAAATCCACGGGAGCGATGCCAAGGGTTGGGTAAATTTGGGATGTGCCAGGCTCGGGCACTGCTGGGTTGGTTTAAATGCTCTGGAATTGAAAAAATTTGGAAAAAATTCCAGAATTGGTGTCAAATGGAGTAGGAGAGAGAATTTGGAGGGAGGGATTTGAGCTGCTCCGGGATTGAGATCTGAGGAAAAGTTTGGGAGGAGCCCAAAGGTGACAAAGGACAAGGGATGGGTGCTGAGAGTGGCATTTCCATCCTGGGGACGCCTTCCCTTCTCCTGAAGTGGCTGCTCTTAATGTGTGAGAAACTCCATCCTCAACCCTACAAATTCCCTAAACCCTGACCAAATCCTGGCCTTCCCTCAAAGGCACAAATTCCATTTTTTTTAGGACCCTCAAAGCCACAAATTTCATTTTTTTTAGGACCCTCAAAGGCACAAATTCCATTTTTTTAGGATTCCAACGCTCCCCCCGAGCATGGTTTTGGTGTGTTAAAAATTCCATCCTCGACCCTACAAATTCCCTAAACCCTGACCAAATCCTGTCCTTCCCACAAAGCCACAAATTCCTTTTTTTTTTAGGATTCCAACGCTTCCCCTGAGCGCGGTTTTAGTGTGTGAGAAACTCCATCCTCAACCCTACAAATTCCCTAAACCCTGACCAAATCCTGTCCTTCCCTCAAATTCCATTTTTTTAGGATTCCAACGCTCCCCCCGAGCGCGGTTTTGGTGTGTGAGAAATTCCATCCTCAACCCTACAAATTCCCTAAACCCTGACCAAATCCTGTCCTTCCCTCAAATCCAGAAATTTAATTTTTTTTAGGATTCCAACGCTTCCCAAGCGCGGTTTTGGTGTTAAAAATTCCATCCTTGACCCTACAAATTCCCTAAACCCTGACCAAATCCTGTCCTTCCCACAAAGCCACAAATTCCTTTTTTTTTTAGGATTCCAACGCTCCCCCTGAGCGTGGTTTTGGTGTTTGAGAAATTCCATCCTCAAACCTACAAAGGCACAAATTCCTTTTTTTTTTAGGATTCCAATGCTCCCCCCGAGCACAATTATGGCATCAAGGACTCAGAGAAACCCTGGAATTTTGATTCCAGGAGAAAACAACACTCACATCTTTCCGATGAACACGCTCAGCACCATGGTCTCATCGTTCAGCCCCAGCACCTCGGAGAGCCTTCGGTACAGCTGAGCAAAACAAAAAAAACCAGAAAAAACAGCTCAAAAAGTGCCAGAAAAAAACAAAAAAATCAGAAAAAACAATTTTTTCCTCGCCCTCGCTATGTGGGAGAAAGGATTTCCCTCCTGGGTTGTTTGGGATGATAAAAATCAATCCTAATCCTAATTTTTTTTTGTCACAGCAGGGTCAGTCTAGTGCCATATTGTTCCCAAATTATTAGGGAATAAGTGTGGGAATATAAAAATAATTTAGGGAATAATTGGTGAATAATCAGGGAAAAATTGGTTAAAAATCAGGGAAAAATTGGTTAAAAATCAGGGAATAATTGGGGAATAATCAGGGAAAAATTGGTGAATGATCAGGGAATAATTGGTGAATAATCAGGGAAAAATTGGGGAATAATCAGGGAATAATTGGTGAATAATCAGGGAATAATTGGTGAATAATCAGGGGATAATTGGTGAATAATCAGGGAATAATTGGTGAATGATCAGGGAAAAATTGGTTAAAAATCAGGGAATAATTGGTGAATAATCAGGAAATAAGTGGTGAATAATCAGGGAAAAAATGGTGAATAATCAGGGAAAAATTGGTTAAAAATCAGGGAATAACTGGTGAATAATCAGGGGATAATTGGTGAATAATCAGGGAAAAATTGGTGAGAACTTGGGTTTTCCCAGGAAAACTCCCAGGAAAATTGGCTCCTCCACTTCTAAAACCACCCAGGATTTGAGTGGAWTTCTCTGGAATTCTCAAATCCCGTTGAAAAAAGAGACCCCAAATCAATTCCTCCTCCAGGAAGGAAGAGAATGAAATCCTGGAGCAAAATTCCCATTCTTTTTTTCATCGGAAAAAGGTGATTTTCATCCCAAAAGAGATGCCAGAACAGCTACAAATTCCTTGGGATGAAGGGAATGGAGATTTATTTCCAGTCCAGAATCAGGAAAGAAGCTCAGGGAGCTCGTGGGTGTTTGAGGTGATCACAGAAACAAAAAAAAAATTAAGGAAAAATTGGATCCAGGTAAGAATTCTCATCTCCTTCCCGATATTCCCAATCCTGGAGCGAAAACAACACTTGGAAGCAAAGCTAAAAATCACAAAAATGTGATTTTTTTTCAGCTAAAAGGAGGAGAAATCAGTTAATTCCAAATATTTTCCTTAAAAAWGAGTGAAATTCAGAATTCTGAGCTGAGGGTATTACCTTGGAAGATTTCTGCACCTGATCTCCGATATAAATTTTGCGGAATTGCTCGAAGAAGCTCAGCATGGCCAATTCCAATTTCTCATTCCCGGCCTGGGCCAGCCTGGAATCCGTCAGGTTCATCAGCTGCAGCACCCTGGGGAAAATTTATATCAAATCATGGTGGGATGGAGAAATTTAACCCCAAATTTATGGAAAAATTTATCCCAAATCTTGGTGGGATGGAGAAATTGAACCCCAAATTTATGGAAAGATTTATCCTCAATCTTGGTGGGATGGAAAAATTTATCCTCAAATTTATGGAAAAATATAACCCCAAATTTATGGAAAAATTTATCCCCAATTTTTGTGGGATGGAAAAATTTATCCTCAACCTTTAGTGTGATCAAAATTTATCCCCAACCTTTAGTGGGATGGAAAAATTTATCCTCACATTTATGGAAAAATTTAACCCAAATCTTGGTGGGATGGAGAAATGTAACCCCAAATTTATGGAAAAAAATTATCCTCAATTTTGGTGGGATGGAAAAATTTAACCCCAAATTTATGGAAAAATGGATTTCAAATCTTGGTGGGATGGAGAAATTTATCCTCAAATTTATGGAAAAATTTATCCCCAAATTTATGGGAAAATGTATCCCGAATCTTGGTGGGATGGAGAAATTTAACCCCAAATTTATGGAAAAATTTATCCCCAAATCTTTGTGGGATGGAAAAATTTATCCTCAAATTTATGGAAAAATTTATCCTCAATTTTGGTAGGGCCGGAAAATTTATCCTCAAATTTATGGAAATATTTATCCCCAAATCAGGGAATAATTGGTGAGTAGTCAGGGAATAATCAGGGAATAAAAAGACAATAATCAGGGAATAATCAGGGAATAATCAGGTAATAATTCCCTTTTTTCCAGGCTCTTCCCCCTCCCCACAGGAATCGAGGCCCGGCTTCGCCCCCAGCGCCGCCCCCTCCCCTTCCAGGAGGATTCCCATGGGAATTCCCGGTGGGATTGGGGCCAGGACCCTGTTAGGACTGGGAATTCCAGGTGGGATCGGTTCTGACCCCGTTAGGATTGGGAATTCCAGGTGGGATTGGTGTCCTGACCCCGTTAGGATTGGGAATTCCAGGTGGGATCAGGTTAGGATTGGGAATTACAGGTGGGATTGGGGTTCTGACCCCGTTAGGATTGGGAATTCCAGGTGGGATCGGGGTTCTGACCCCGTTAGGATTGGGAATTCCAGGTGGGATCGGTTCTGACCCCGTTAGGACTGGGAATTCCAGGTGGATTTGGGGTCCTGACCCCGTTAGGACTGGGAATTCCAGGTGGGATCAGGTTAGGATTGGGAATTCCCGGTGGGATCGGGGTTCTGACCCCATTAGGATTGGGAATTCCAGGTGGGATCGGGACCAGAACCCTGTTAGGACTGGGAATTCCAGGTGGGATCAGTTCTGATCCCGTTAGGATTGGGAAATCCAGGTGGGATCAGTTCTGACCCTGTTAGGACTGGGAATTACAGGTGGGATCAGGGCCAGGACCCCGTTAGGATTGGGAATTCCAGGTGGGATCAGGGTTCTGACCCCATCAGGACTGGGAATTCCAGGTGGGATCAGGGTTCTGACCCTGTTAGGAATGGGAATTCCAAGTGGGATCAGGACCAGGACCCTGTTAGGATTGGGAATTCCAGGTCGATTTGGGGTTCTGACCCCTTTAGGACTGGGAATTCCCAGTGGGATCAGGTTAGGATTGGGAATTCCCGGTGGGATCCGTGTCCTGACCCCGTAACCCCCAGCAGGTTTTGGGGTGTCCGTACCGGCACACCAGCTCCCCGTCCATGGCGTCCTGCTCGTCCGTGCTGGCGAACGACACCCGGCCCCCGATGACCGCGCCGATGATGTACACCAGCCACGTCAGGCGGCCTGGGGACACGGGATATGGGACAATGGGGACATGGGGATGGTCACAGGGGGACACGGGGATGGTCACATGGGGACATTGGGGACACAGGGGACAGTGGGGGGCATGGGGACATGGGGACACATTGGGGGACACGGGGACAGTGGGGATGGTCACAGGGGGACATGGGGACATTGGGGCATATGAGGGCATGGGGACACAGGGACAGGGGGACACAGGGGATATGGGGACAGCGGGGACACGGGGGATATGGGGACATGGGGACAGCAGGGATGGGCACAGGGACACAGGGGACATTGGGGGACACAGGGACGGTGGGGACACAGGGACACATTGGGGAACACGGGGACAGAGGACAGGGAATATGGGGACACATTAGAGGACACGGGGACAGCGGGGACACGGGGACATGGGGGATATGGGGATGGTCACAGGGGACATGGGGGGACACCGGGACAACGGGGACGATGGGGACAAATTGGGGGACACAAAGACACAGGGGATATGGGGACATGGGGTACATAGGGACAGCAGGGACACATTAGGGGACATAGGGACAGTGGGGACATGGGGGACATTGGGGACAGTCACAGGGGACATGGGGACAGCAGTGACAGACACAGGGACATAGGCACAGTGGGGACACATTGCAGGGACAGGCACAGGAGGATATGGGGACAGCAGCGACAGTCATGGGGGGACATGGGGGACAGCAGGGATGGACACAGGGACATGGGGACAGTCACAGGGGCACATGGGGGACATGGGGACACATTGGCGGACACACCGGGGACACACAGAGGACATTGGGAGGACGTGGGGGACAGTGGGGACACACGGGGAACACACAGAGGACATTGGGGACACATGGGGGACAGACAGGACACATGGAGGGACATTGGGGACGCACAGGGACATACAGGGCACACATGGATGACATCGGTGACATAGGAGATACATGGGGACACACATAGGACAGGCAGGGGACACACAGGGGACACACACGGGACACACAGGGGACACACTCAGGGGACACGCAGGGGACACACACAGGGGACACACAGGGGACACACAGGGGACACACAGGGGACACACACAGGACACACAGGGGACACACACACAGGACACACAGGGGACACACAGGGGACACACACACAGGACACACAGGGGTCACAAAGGGGACACACATGGGACACACATGGGACACACACAGGGGACACACACGGGACACACAGGGGACACACACAGGGGACACACACAGGGGACACACAGGGACACACACGGGACACACAGGGGACACACACGGGACACACAGGGGACACACATGGGACACACAGGGGACACACACCGGACACACAGGGACACACAGGGGACACACACACGGGACACACAGGGGACACACA